TCCTCAGTCGGGGTAGCGATCGTAGAAACCGGGGCATCCCGTAGAGCGGCTGCTGCTCGGGTGAAGTGGGCACCGGCGTCTCCTCGGACTCGCCCTCCGTTCCGGTTGGCGCATGCGTCGGCGCATCCGTGCCGTACGTCTCCTCAGTCGGGGTAGCGGTCGTAGAAACCGGGACTTCCGTGGATGGCTGCTGCTCGGGTGAAGTGGGCACCGGCGTCTCCTCGGACTCGCCCTCAGTTCCGGTCGGCGCAGGCGTCGGCGCATCCGTGCCGTACGTCTCCTCAGTCGGGGTAGCGGTCGTAGAAACCGGGGCATCCGTGGAGGGCTGCTGCTCGGGTGAAGTGGGCACCGGCGTCTCCTCGGACTCGCCCTCAGTTCCGGTCGGCGCAGGCGTCGGCGCATCCGTGCCGTACGTCTCCTCCGTCGGGGTAGCGGTCGTAAAAACCGGGGCATCCGTCTTCTCTTCGATGGTACTCTCTGGTGTTTTGCTTGGAGCTTCGGCTTCTTTCTTTCCTTTTCCGTTGTTTTTATCACTTTTCCCTGCGGTGGTGTCCTTTGACTTTAATGGTGCTTCCGTAGACTCATCTCCACTGTGCGATGCCTCTTCGGAGTCCGTACTCGTTGAGTTGCATGCAATTGATAGTTCCAGTAGCTCTTGCACATCTGCGTAGCTTAGACCCACACTCGTGACTGTCGAAATATCAGGCTTGCCAGTTGGGAACCAAAGGAAATCAGGATGATCAGCCTTCGAGTCTCCAACCCACTCACCGCCGATAATGTTGTAGTCAGAATCGAGCTCCAAGAGATACTCGTAGTTGTTCGACACTGTAAATTGACCCATTTTGCCTGTGGACACCAGTGCGCCGTCGATGTATGTCTCTACAGCCCACGTGACTGTAGTCTTGACGTACGCTAGATGCACCATACCGGAGTTAAACGGGTATGAAGACGTGCCAAAGTGTGTCTCGCATGCTTTTGCAGTATCGACAATCTCCATCGTCTGCACATTGTACGACCACACAGGCTGATTCCAGACCTCAGAGTCTGCCGCTACGTCCATAATGAGAGATGTCTGGTGTTTGCCCATGATGTTACTGATGGCGATATGGAAGAACCCAGCTCCCAAATCGCGGCGGGCGGGCTTCGTGAACCGTCCGAACTGGTCCACATCTCCAGCATTGTCTGGGCCATTGAACCGAGCACCAGTGAACACGGTTGAGATCTGAGCGCCGTCGTAAACTTCCGTCAGCAACGCCTTGATGTCGAGCACGCGAAAGTTCACATCGTTCAACTCAACGTTGCACTTGGGTTCCTGCTCGAGGAGAGCTGCCGGTGCCCATGCGTGGCAAAGGCCGTACCATGATGGGATGCAGCGCCCGGTTGAAGTACCATCTCGCATAGCGCACTCACCGCTGCCATTACAGTCCGCTTTCGTACGGCACGATTTAGCGTTCTTGATCGAATCGATACCGTTGCTGGTGGAGATCTTGTCTTTAAAGTCCCCGACATCTAGGCCATAAGCCTTGGCGTACTTCTCCGACGGGCAAGCTTCTCCGCTTTTCCAGACATGATTGATACTGTCCTGAAAGGTAGGCCAGTAGCTGCTGGGCCATGGCGTGTTTGGAGCCGTGGCGTGAGGAAATTGCCCCTTCAATACCTTGAAGCCAACCTCCAGTTGTTCGCCGAAGTATGACGAGAGATCATCAATATCTGAATAGGACGAATCCTCCATCACGCGCAGCTTCCTGTACGCCACATCGTTCTTCACTGTCATTGACTTGGCGTGAGCTTCGTTGGGGTCGACAGGTATGATCGGCTTGGCACAGTCATCATTGGGCTTGGCACCGTAGGCTGGGTGTGATGCATTCAGCGGCGCGTTGAGCTCAACGGGGGTGTACGGGTTGGACTCGAGTGGAGCCGACTGGATCAGAAGCGTCGAAGCTGCTGCAATCGCGGCGCCGAGCGCAACGGAGCGAACGATCATCACCATTCTGGAAAAGACTCAACTAGGTGAGTGGCTCGCTCGACGGAGAGACTGCTGGGGTGCTGAACCTCCGAGCGAGTCGAGAAAATGAGGAATGAGACTAAGCAAAAGGAAATGGTGGCGCCGCATAACGCGCCTTGAAGACGCACCTCGAGCGGTACGCTCTCTGGCGGCAGAGAACAAAAGCATATTGTACTCGAAGGCTGACTCCGCTCAGACGTTTCGAAGCAAGATTGCTTTGAGAAGAATGCCGTTTGTATCTAAATTAGTCCGACTCGCGATCTTATCCAATATGACCAGCATTTCTTACTCGCCACCAAAAACAGGTGTCAGGGCTGCCTTTAAACCTTGGCGAGTTGGCAAACCGTACTGCAGAGAGCAGCGACGCGGATCAATGCAGCGATGCGCTGGCGTCGCTTGTCTTTTAACTAAAAATTAGAAAGCTGTACCAGAAACTAAAGCTCTCGTATATTATTTAAAGAATGGCGAATCACCGAACATCTTCTTGGGGTGCAATGATGAAATAATCGATGCAAAGGATGAGAGCCGTCAGGCTCATGGTCATGCTGCTATTATATGTGGGGATAGACAATCCATTTTTAAAGGCATACTTTTAGAGCTAAAGCATTTGATATTCTTGCGACGTGCTAATATTCAGTCTCATCTTTTCTCAGCTTTTACAAGAAATCTACGAACATCTCCGCAGTCATGTTGTAGCTCTTTGGCAGGATTCTGATATTGTTGATCCTCATTTTTAGTGTTGTTCTCCTTAAAATACTAGCTTCAAAAAGGATCAGTAAAGCGGCTGGTGAGGTAAAGCTCACCAGAAGTGTTGGAGACTGGACTGACAGTCTCTACTGGAATCATGTCGCCTGCTGGAAAATGGAGCAGCTGATGCCACTGCTCTCTGTGAAGGGGCACACTGCGTCAGCAGCAAACAGATAAAAATGTGTCAACGACAAACGCAAGCTATGTACCGCAACTGTCCTTGTGAAAGGTTAAACCTGAAGCAGGTGTCGAGATCGGAACAAAGACCATCTAGGTATAGCTGGGTGTATTGGTAGATCCTTAGATACTTTCCAAACAAGATCACTTAGTCAAGGTGTCGTTCCACTGCATTTAAAGTAAGAAATGAAGTGTATTACTGCATCACCCCTAAAGTAAAAGAGAAATCAAGCA